TAGCCCCTTTCACACATACAGTACTGGTAAATTACCATTAATAGATCATGTGTGAACAGGACCTTTTCAAAAATCCCGGTAAATTTGTTCTGGCAATCATATCGTTTTATGGAGATGACATGATTACTCTGAGCTGTTTACAAAGCTCTGCTGCTTTTTAATTAGTTATTCTATGTAAATATGCGCTAGATGGACATCTTTGACCATTGTGCCTCGCAGCTTTTTGTCGCGCATCTCCATTCATCAGGACTGCGACTCCGCAATTGGATACTATTATGCGTGTCTCGTGTTTATAAGAGCAAAACATTCTGATTGGCTAGTAATGTTAGTTTGGTTGAAAGCTGTGCTCCTCTGATACCATTGGTAGGCGAACTCATGGACTCGAAAGCGATATCAATCAACAAGATTTTTTTTTTAAAGTAGGACTATTTTTTTTCCGCAGCCAAATGCTGCATGCCGGAGATCCGGCACGGTGCCAAAGAACTTTAAGCCCTGAAATGTGATACTTAGATATTAAAATAATTTTTTTATTGAACTTGTAAATTTTAATGTTTGAAAAGCCTTCCAAAACTATTTTAATACATGGTTAAATAACCTACTGAATGATAATTCAAATTAAAAGTCATGTGTTCATCAGCTAATGCGATGTTGAAACACTTCTTAAACCTGAAATGATTTTTGTAAATCCAGTGATCAAAGGCCTGACTAATGATTGGTCTTTGTGTGTGAATGTCCACAAAACTGGAAGACTTTCTCCATGTACATAAGCAGTAGGTTATTTTAGAAAGGAACATTTAAAAGATGAAAAAGAGGAATAACGGAGAATCAATCAATTATGAATAATACATTTGCTATTGTGTGAATATGTAATCATGTAATCAATAAAAAAGTAACTGTAGTCTGATTATGAGTATTTTAAAAAATGTAATTTTCTCATTAAAATTAAAATATATATATTTTTTTTACATACATGTAATAAGTTACTACCCAGCTCTGTGTGTGTGTGTGTATATATATATATATATATATATATATATATACAATATGTACATGCAACAAAAAAAAGTTTGCTTTAAGCCATATTAATAATTTTGCATAAAATTTAAGCAGATATTAGATTTTCAAGCAGGATTCCCCAATACTTGTTTCATTTCACAAAATAAAATAAAAGTAAGTCAGCTGTTTGCAATTTTGCAATTCAATTAACTTATTAATACTTGTGATGTATTTCAGAGTATAATATAAAAAAAATGAATAAATAAATAAACTAAAAAAAACAGTTTTAAGTCAATAATAATTAATAATGCCGTAACAAAACATTTATCAGTCTATCAGACCCTTAGCTGCTTCAATGAAAATGCTGTTTTATATATTCAAAGGCTCATGGGAAATATAATCTAGAGAGTAATCAAAGCCTCTTGTGAGGGCCTATTTTTGAAGTTCCTCATTCAGATAAAAACCAATCACTTCCACTGTTATCAAGTTCAGGAGAATAGGAACACACAAAGGCGGAAATTACAGAAATTAAAAGTCTGTATATAATCAAACCGAAAGTCAGACTAAAAAATACTGAATAGAGAGACTGAGCTCTGAGAAACCACTACAAAGCATTAATTATTTAAAAAGCCGGGAATGTCCAGAAATGACTCGATGGATTCTGAAGACTGCAAGTCATAATGACTTCATTCCTGCAGCTTTGTGTGACTGTAACATGTGTGGCTGTAACGGGGATGATATGTTTTATTCAACACTGTTTGTAAAGGGCTCTCAAATGTCCCACAATCTGTTGATCAGACTATATAATCTGCCTCAGTGATGTCCTCTTGTGTAAAATCTATACTCTCTTCCCATCAGCAATGAGAGACAGAGGGGGTGGGCTGTGTGTTTCATAAAATATCTTCTCTGAGAGGCCACAACGCTGTAAACCAGGCTTATTTGTATTCTGCAGAAACACAGTGAGGGTGAGAGGTATCTCAATGACCAGACATGATGACTCTAGAAAAATGGCAGAGGTCACAGCAGTGAGAGAAGTATTTCTAGTGTTCCAGCATGGTTTGAATGTTGATTATTGTTGCTATGATTTTACACTTTAAGAATGTTACCAAAATAGTATCAATTCTATTTTTGTTTATACATTTTATAAAAAAATAAAATAAATTGTACAAATAACAAATACATGTCCCTGTGCATTACCATGTTATTCAATGGCATGCATAACTAGGACTAATTTTAAAAACTCATTTAAAAATGTAAAAAAAATAATAATAATAATTTAATATGTTTTTGTGTGTTCATAACATACCAAACTTTATTTTTAATAATATATTATTAAAAATATATTTTTTAATACGTTAGCAAAGTAATACCAGTTTTGTTTTTGTTTATAATATTTTATAATTTATTTTTAAATATTACGTGTATTAAGTAAATAAATACAATTAAAATTAATTTATAAATAAATACATTCTGTGAAATCTCTTTTCACTATTTATTTTAGAGAATACAGGAGGAAAGGAATACAAGAGGAAGTTCTTATTTATCTATTTGTTTAAGATTTAAAATATATATTACCAAAGTAGTACTGATTTTGTTTTTTTTTATAATATATATATATATATATATATATATATATATATCACAATTTATTTTTAAATGTTACATGTATTGTTTAAATAAATAAATAAACACATTTAATATTATTTTTTGATGACATGTTCTATAAAATCTCTTTTCACTATTTATTTTAGAGAATGCATGAGGAAAGGATCAAGAACTGTTTTTATTTATTCTTTTTTTTTTTTAATTAAGATCATTTAAAAATGTTACCAAAATATTAACAGTTCAGTTTTTGTTTATAATATACCATACTTTATTTTTATATATTACATGAATTATTTGAATGAATGAATGAATTTTTTAAACAAGTTTAGTATTCTATTTCTACAGCATGTTCTATAAAATCTCTTTTCACAGTTTATTTTAGTGAATACAGGAGGAAAGGATGGGTTGGCCCACTGCTCTATCTGTTCCATCTGTTTGGCGCTCAGATAAACTGTGGTCATCTGTCCACATGCTGTATGTGAACAGGAGCTTTTACAGTATGTGCTGATATCACTGCCATTAACTGGTTCAAAATGTGCTGTGATGTAACACTTGACATGCCATCTAATCCTTGTGTGGAGAAAGAACAGAATTGCCAGGAAATACATTTAGCTGTAGTCATAAAGCCAGAGTTCAAATCTGCATCACAGACGAAGATTAAAGGGATAGTTCACAAAAAATTTTTATAAAATAAAAAAGACTTGGAATATAACACAAAAGACATATTGACTGCTTTTATGATGCTTGAGGTAGTATTCACTGAAAATCTGGTGGTCACCATACACTAATGAAAAAAAAAGCACCCACATTCTGCTTTTGTGTTCTAAAAGGCTTATAAAGAAGAATTATCATGGAAATATGTCACAAGATGTGTCTCAGTCCACACAAACCAAAAATATGTTGACAGCATTATATGTCACAAAAACAACTTCCCAGCAGTATCGTCATACGCATGTGTATGGCACGAGATTCCTGTCTATTTCTATGTGCTCTTTCCTACTAAACACAGCTGAGCTCTGAAGCACCCCGTCTCTATATCTGCTCTAACGGGGCCAGACACTCTCAGTAATGTCTAAGCACAGCAGGGATCATCAATAGGGAAGAATCACATTCACTCCATTCATTTCAAGTTAAATCTTTAAAACACACAGTCTTCATAGTATCAGCATCTGGAGCATGTAAAACATGTATTCAACACATTACATGCAACTTCACTGATTTTGAACCACTAGCACTTGTATTCCTAGAACAAGAAGTCAAGGATGCAGTGTGTATGTTTTTAATACATGAGTCTTGGCAGGAATATGAAGGATTCTGGTTAATCTCAGTTAAAGTGACAAATTAAAACGTGGCTTGAAGAGTTAGCATTTTACACTTACATAAAGATGTCTTCAACTTTGATTTCTACAGATTCATAATTTTTCCACAGAACCAGATATATTTTTCCCTGAATTAAATCAGATTAGATTATATAAGGCTTTATTGATCCATTGGATTTTTTTGTAGGAAGTGTCTCACTTGTTGCCTAACACTGCTGACAACTGGTTTGTGCCCTCAATCGAACACTTTGGATGACAGAACAGCATATGCTGCTTCAACTGCAGATTCAGCACATTTACTAATCAGCACTACCAAGTTTTTTCCATCTACAATGTGTACATTTTAATTGTACTATGTTTTTTAGTGTACTTTACACTTTTAGTTACTACGCTGCATCTCAATTTCCTCTTTCGTTATATCTATTTTGGTTTCAGAGCCCTAAAATTAAAGTTAAAAGGATAGTTTACACAAAAATGTTTTTCCTAACCAAATCCATAGTGGAAGTGGAACGCAGAATGAAAGATTTTGAAGAATCGTGTCACTAATTTTCATGCAGTTGCAACAAATTGGGACTAAAGCATTTAATCTTTAAAAAGAACAAAACTTATGTATTCCCCAATTGTAAGTCGCTTTGGATAAAAGTGTCTGCAAAATGAGTAAATGTAAATGTAAAAAAATGAAGCAACCTCTGCTTTAAATAATATCTTTACGAAATCAATTTTAATGTAGAATAAAAGTCATAGTAAATAAACGATCAAAGATCAAAACACAACTGCACTAGTAACTCAAACCATTTCCCAGTTTTCAACATGATAATCTCTGATAATCATCAGTGTGTGCAAGCAGCCAAAATATGATAATTTCTTTCGATTTCAGTAACAGCCTTTTGCTCATCTTGGTGAAGTGAAGAGGGATATGCAAGTCATAAATCATAAAAGCACATCACTCATTCTTTTTCATCTTTTTTCTTTTTATGCCTCTACTCTGTTCCTCTCTCTGTCTGAAACAAAACTGCCACTGAATCACATCAAAAAGTCAGTGAAAATACAACAAAAAGCATCTAGTGAGCCACATCTTACCTGTTTAGACTGTATGAAAGAGTGGATCCTCCAATTCCAACCAGACGTCAGCAGCTCAGAATAGTGTGGACGCTGTAAAAAAACAATGGCATTGTTAAAAGAGGGATTCTTACATGACAAAGTGAGTGACTGAAGTTTGTGCTAATCTGAGGAACACTGAAGGACATTATAACTAAAGGACAAAAGGCTTGCCAGTTCACAGATGCACCAAAAAGTGGGTGCTATCCAATAAAAAAGACAAATTTTGTTATTCCAAACCCCACTGAGATTTCTAAACATTATTGCCTCTGTGCAAACACACTGGCATGCCGTAGCTCAGCAGAAAGAGTGACAGAGGGACCTGCTTTCAGCGGCAGCCCTCTTGGCACCTCTACATCACACGTGCTGGTTCATGGTCGCGCATACATTAGCATTTTCCCTCGAGACGCACGCATTCATTTCACATTAACAGAAACACGGCCGCTGACACAGCCCCCCCACCCGCATCTTTTGATGGGAGACAGGCCACAAAGACGCTGTGATGGAGAGCCTTCTGTATTGATGGAGAGCCTCTACTGTATTGTTTTCTCAAATTTTAAGCAAACTGAGGAAACCCCCAGCCTCTAGTGAAGCTGTGACACACAGCTGCTGTCTCACAGAGACCAGAAAGAGGGAGACTGAGAGAGAGAGAGAGAGAGAGAGAGAGAGAGAGAGAGAGAGAAAGAGAGAAAGAGAGAAACAGGCAATAAAACAACAACAAAAAATTCACACTAACTACCTCCCACCTCTCAGAGCTGACCTGAGGTGTTGTCATGGAGACGGGCCGCATGCCGGCACGATGGGGTGAGAGAGAGAGAGAGAGAGAGCGAGAGATGAAGCGGGTTCTGAGAGAATGGAATATGTGTTGATGGAGAGCCTCTACTGTATTGTTTTCTCAAATTTTAAGCAAACTGAGGAAACCCCCAGCCTCTAGTGAAGCTGTGACACACAGCTGCTGTCTCACAGAGACCAGAAAGAGGGAGACTGAGAGAGAGAGAGAGAGAGAGAGAGAGAGAGAGAGAGAGAGAGAGAGAAAGAGAGAAAGAGAGAAACAGGCAATAAAACAACAACAAAAAATTCACACTAACTTCCTCCCACCTCTCAGAGCTGACCTGAGGTGTTGTCATGGAGACGGGCCGCATGCTGGCACGATGGGGTGAGAGAGAGAGAGAGAGAGAGAGAGAGCGAGAGATGAAGCGGGTTCTGAGAGAATGGAATATGAGATGTTGAGAGACAGATCTTACAATATTTCAGCATTATCTGCATTGTCAAATGCTGACAATGCAGATAATTCTGAAATATTGTAAGATCTGTCGATCCATTTCTTTTTTCATCCATTCATCCATCTGTTCCTTTTTTCAACATTCATCCATTTATCCATCCATCCAGTCAGCCATTTCTATTTTCATCCAACTATCAATCCATCCATCCATTTGTCCATTTATTTTTTATTCCCGCATCTATTCATCCATTTTTTTTATCCATTTATCCATCCATCCATTTCTTTTTCATCCATTTATCTATCTGTTCATCAATTTATCCCTGCATGGATCCAATTCTTTTTCATCTATCTATCCATCCATCTGTCTGTTTCTTTTTCAACTATCCATTCATCCATTTATCCATCCCTCCATTTCTTTTTCATCCATTTATTTATCTATTCATCCAATCCATTTCTTTTTCATCCATCTATCCTCCATTTATCTATCCATTCATCAATTTCTTTTTCATCCATTCATATATTCATCCATTTATCCATTCATTTCTTTTTCATCCATCCATTCATCCAACATCCATTTATTGATCCATCCACCCATCCAACATCCATCCATCCATCCATTTATCTATTGATTAATCCATCCGACTATTTCTTTTTTCATACATTCAACCATCCATTTCATTTTTCATTCATTTATATATTCATCCATTTATCCATCCATTGATTTCTTTTTCATTCATCCATTCATCCATCTTTCCATCCATCTATCCATTTTATTTTCATTCATCCATTTCTTTTTTCACCCATCCCACGATCTATTCATTTGTCCATCCATCATCTATTCATTTATCCATCCATCTATTTGTCCACACAGGTTAAAATTTTTGTATACTGATCACTAAAAAATACTGTATCACCTACAATAACATACGACTACATCTATCTATCAATCCATACACATATATAATTATATAGACTACTTAAATATATTAAACATACCACAGATAGGCAGATAAAACATAAAAAGGTTTCTCCCATCACAAAAATACATGCTGCCATAAAACCTTTGGCTTTAGTTGTACACAGACATCCCATCAACACACACTATGACTTCAGAATAAACAAATCAGCACACACAAAGACAAATCTGACTGGCTTTAACAGGAAAGGTGACACCAGGTGTGCACCGCACAATGGACAAAATGCTGTTTGTTCTAAGTAACTATAGTCACATAAACTGAGTCAAAAAAGTGAAAGGAAATAGTTCACCCTGGAGGTGTAGCTTTGACCCACAGGGTGTGAGAAACGCACATAAATACCAAAAAACAAAAAAACAAAACTCAAGATCAAATCACTGAGAACCAACCAACAAAAAAAAAAGTGTAATTTTTCACAGCTAGAACACTGTTACCTTAATACTGCAGTGAGTCAACAGCAGTCCTTTCCTGGTCACGGTGTATCTCGCAAACCATTCTCTGTGGCTCATGTAGCATGTGTGTGGCCGGTGAACGCTCTGACAGGCATCTGCCTCACACACACACATACCCGGCCGCTCGACTCTCCCTGCATGGCATCCACCCCCATGTGCCTGCCTCCTAACTCGGTGAGATTAACACACCCCTTTTGTCACCGTACAAAGGGGGTTAACGCATGTCCTGGAGCAAATCAAAAGCATCCGTAGGGACTGAGGGATGGAAAGGGGGGAAAATAGAGGTAGAGAAACAAAGACACGGAGAAAAAGATATATAGTGCAGGTAAAGTGATATTTGTAGATTTGTACATTGTACAATGAGCTCTTGATACACATCAGACTCATTTAGTAGATCTGTTTGTTCTGTCAAGTGTTTGCTTGAGCGTTTCCTTTAAATGGAACAGAATCGCAGATGTGCAGAAGACAGTGTGAAATGACTGTCAAATACAAAAGCTGTGCAGAGCTTCAACACTTAACTGACAAAAGCCTCAATCAATGACTGAGGATCCTGTGGTGAAAGATTGAGCGCAGATTTCAGAACCAACAGAAACCTCAAGACGGTCTTGAATCAGCGCCAATAGGCATCTGTCTCAATACTGGTTTTGGAGTCTAAACAAATTTAGACTTTCTTGTTCTCTATACAGTCTTCAATAAAATTCATAATTATAAAAGCAGAGCTCTATGGCAACCAAAACATTTATCCTAATGTAGCTAGATGTGATTTTACAGCCCTCTGAGCTCATAAAACAGCCTTCAATGTTGACATAATGACTCATATAATGTCATATAATGGTCATTTTAAAGGTTCAGAGCATCTGTTTACACAAAGTCAACATGTATTCTCATTTGCGATGCTTTGCTTTGATCTGCTTTGAGCGCATAAAGAACAGATATATTTCAGTATCCTAAAAGTAATACCCATATCCAATAACGAAGGGCCCATTTTGCCATACTGTGGCTTTTCGAGTATCATATGAGTGAGGACATGTAGATACAGTCTAGAGTATATATGAACAGAAAGAAAAGCACTGATTACTTTCCCCAGCTCTCAGCTTTAATTTACCCTGTCTGAGTGTTAACATCCGTCAGACTGGGGTCCCTCACACACACACACACACACACAAATGGCAGAATAGACAGAGCACTGGAGAGCTGCACAAAAGGGCATGGAGAGGCCTTTTCACACAGCAGATTTAGCACACACCAGCTGGGCTTTCAGCACAGAGACGAGTCGCCACTGAACTCTCTGTCATTTCCACTTCAGCTCTGAGGACACAGTTATCTACACTAGCGGACAATACATGGACATAATTCCCACCAGACCCCCAACAGCACTAGAAAAGAAACAAAATACCTGCTTTTCTTTTTAACCTTTTAAGTTCATAATCCACTTGATCTTGTGCAGGATCACATATTTAATTTTATATATACTTTATATAAACAAAAAATATTTTTATATAGATGAATGGGTGGATAGATAAAAGACAAGGATTAAAAAAGAAGTAAAATTTTATAATAAATAAAAAATATAAATACTATATATATATATATATATATATATATATATATATTATAGTAATACATTTTATATTTATGTATTGAGTTCGATTGGCATTATGAGGAAGACAGAGGAAAAATAGAGAAAGTAAAAGGAAGTGAACTAGAACTGTTGGCATGATGCCCCTGGGGAGGAGACATGGTTATTTGAATTTTATGTTAATGATGTGGTTTGAGCAAAGGCCACATGCTAAGAGAGAGATATAATGGTTTTAGGGTTCCACACACGAGCGTACAGTTCTCAAAAATCTACTGGAATCATCTACATACAACAAAAAAAGTGGTGTAGCATTGTGCTTTAAAGGTATAATAATTTCTGTCCCACTAGCATCACTAAACTGATTTGAAAAAAAAAACAAAGACTTGCCATAAATAAATGTTTAAAAATTATAATGATGTAAAGAAAAAATGCAATAAAAACTAAAAGCAATCATTACAAATTAAAAACTAAAAATTGTAAAATATAAAAAAAAAATATATATATATATATATACACACACACACACACACACACACACACACACATTATATTTTATCTATCTTCTTTAACAATTTAATTTAGCTTTATATTTAAATATATTTAAACTAAATAGTATAGAAATATCATAATGGCTATTTAAAAAAATTCAGCCATAAATTTTTTAATGATTTTTCATTTTCAAGCCAGATTTCTATAAGTTTTAACCAGGCACACCGTGTATTAAAGCTCTCACAACTCATTTTACACCACTGCCTTATGTGCCTTCCATTTTATTGATCTGCCTGTTTATATAAAGGCCACAGTTCTCAAAAACAGCATTAAAACAGCATTCAGCCCTCTCCGATAAGGTCAGCATATATTGGCCATGTTTTCCACACAAAGCGCTCATTACCATACTGATTCTTATTTGTTCTGTAATCAAGATTACCCTTGGGTTTATAAAGCACGCAGTAAACAGCGATGGCAGAAATCAGCTCTTATCTCAGAATGGCCACATAACTCAGTCGCTCTTTCAAGCTCCTGATCACACAACATCATCACCATGGAGACTCACTGTGGCAACAAGGCCCGGCGATGGTGGGGCCACCCCGGCGACCCTGACCTACCAGACATTAAGCCGGCACTCCGGAGAGAAACTAATCTTGTGTAACATACAATGAGCAAGCACGGAAAGAACAAACCAAAGCAAAGAATCAGACACAGAGGGAGAGTCGGCCAAGAGAAAGCTAATGAGAAACGTATTCATCAAAAGAAAACACGTCAAGCTGGTGGTTATAAAAAAAGAGAGTGGGAGAACTGGGGAACTACTGGGCCGTATTTCACTCTGAAGGGAGCTATACATCTGATGGATGAGAGAAGAGAGGGTCAGGAAGGCTTCTGTGATGGCTATTATTAGGCCCACTATAGAGAGATTTCTCCTTAAGCCAGTAACTCAGCTGATGAGAAATCTTCCCAGATCAACTCCCTAAGGCTCGTGAATCACACCGGACACACTCACCCTGTGTGCAGCAGACTGAACAGTAGCAAAGTCAAGAAAAGATGTCAGCTGATAGAGACATTTGAACATCTCTATTCACTGAGCATCCAATGTGACATTCTTTAAAAAAAAATTAAATAATTAAAATAAAATAAATAAATAAATATAAAAAATATATAAAATAACAAAATACTTAACCACTGTCCCTTTCTGAATACATTATAAAATAATAAAACAATATAATATAATATAATAATTATATCCTAGTAATAAATAGAATCAAATCAAATCAAATCAAATCAAAGTTGTGACCCCTTTTCGTACAAGACCTGATCATCTTGTTTATTGGCTGAATATACAGTACATGAGCACCTGACAATGAAAAAATAGGATTTACATACATCTAAATGTTGCAAAAACAATGTCATTAAACATCCAACAAGCAACATCCCAGAGATGCATTGCAGAAAATCAAACACTTTACAAATTTGCCTACATTTTCCAAATGAAAACACACACACAGTTGTGCTTTCAGAAATCCAACCATATTCGCACCTGATTTCAAATTGACACGGCACAAAACGGATCTTACACATCCCTATCCATCATGAAATGCTCCATCAGAACTAACTCTAGTGTGTAAGCACCCTAATTCTGAAAACATTACTGCATTTGTAATGTTTCACCTCAGTGTCCCGCAGTGACATTCCCAAGAAGAGATTTCTCTATGAAGACTTTCAAAAGACAATAAATAACAGGAATATCTTAACTCCATACGGTGACTGTGAGAGTGTGGAGGTCCTGAATAATATTGTTATCCAAGCAGCAGAACCCCATTAATGCAGGACTACACTGCTACATGCCAGATACTGTAATTGAACAAAATGACAATAATCCAGAGAAAAAATGAGTTAAAACAGCATGTGCTGAGCAGACAAACACATTCTATCATCTTAGAAGGTCACAGCATAGGCGCTATTGAAATAAGCGCCTCCATATCCTGGGGTTTGCCTACAAAAAATAATTTGAAATAGTCAACTATATCTGGCCTCTACCGGACAAAATGACAAAAGCGATTGTCCACAACAGCATATTAGAGCCCCATTTGGCCTTATTTGTAAGGAGTCAGGCTTGAGCGGGCAGCAATGTCATTTCCATGTGCACGTCCAGAGCGCCCGTCTCTGGCAGCAACAGACACACAGAGCGCACATGCAAAATTAGTCTGAGTCTTGATTTCCATTATACAAAGTGGCATTACGTTTGTCATGTGGATGGTATTATAAATCAAGAGCAGTGCATTGTGCAGCAGCCCTGACATGCCTTCACATCAGTTTCATGGGCACAGATGCATGAACCAGATAAACAGATGCAATTGTCCCCCTAACTGTTATGAATATTGAATTATTGTTATGAATATTGAAATATTGAATCTCTTAATTATCTGAATGGTTAAAAATTACATTTTGAACTTGACATGCATCCTTAAAACAGCATTTTAATATAAGAAACCTTTATTTATTTTTTAAAGGCATTATAAAAAGTAAAATTATGATATGATCCCTTAAATCTGATCCCTTGGTATTGACAGAAATAGTTTAACACTTTTTGCATTCACTTTTAGGGACAGAAATGACCCTAAAAGCACTGCTTCACCACAATCCAACCAAAGACAGGAACTAAAAAAGAAAAAAAAAAGAAAGCAAGAAAGCTCAATAAACAAACAGTCGAGTGTTGACCTTTGCTCTGATGGTCTAGAGCCCTTGAAGGTCGCATGCATAACAGATTATAGGCTTGATATGTCAAATACGAAGTGAAGTAAATGGAGACCAAAACCAAGTCAAAGGAACTTCAGGGCTTTAGGATGTAAACTAGCTGCCTGTTCTAGAGCATATTGTACCTGACTAATGAATTATAAAGAATATTGTGACGACTGGGGCGGGGCCAAGAGCCGTGGGAACGGAGCGAGGCCGGTGGAGTAATTGATAATGAGCGACACCTGCACCACTCACCGGTCTCGAGTCCCACGGAGGAGCTCTGGAAGGATAAAAGGAGGAGTGACGGCAGTGAAAGACGAGAGAGGACCAGGCCTGGACTTTATTTTGTGTTTTGTGTGCGGCACTCGTCCGCGGGGGGCTGCCGCTTTACTTTCATTTTGTGTTTGTTTATTTTATTAAAGTTTTGTTTAAATGTTCGCCGGTT